TCAGACACGGCCTACATCATTAGTGCTTATCTACTGAGCTGATACTTTAGTGAGATGAGGTGTCTTGGTATGGACCAAAGGGTGCAAACCCAACCCACCTGCAGTGTAGTGTTCCAGAACAGATCCATTTTCTGCCCTTTGAACAGACAAGACAAGTGATTCATCTCTTGCTGTCTTTTTCTATAAGAATAGAGCTGTCTGTCACTGTAAATTTGCTGTACGGTTCTATCAAGCTTCAGTCTTGTGCACAATTCCCTTTGTTTCCACACATCATATCTGTGCTGTCACTCCCATTTTTAAGTCACACGTAGGGGACCTGCATAGGTAAAGAGTAATGGCAACAGCAATAGATTATAGATGTTTCACATCATCTCACAGTGCATAACCTATACTTTTGCTGCATTCAACTCTGCTCCACTAAGAAAGGAAATAGGGGAGTTGAAGTTAACTCTCTGCTATATCTGTGATCCATCTGGTTGCAGCGATGCATTACCACCGGACTTCTCTAAATAAATGTCCATGTGATTCTAAAAAAGAAAACCTTGCTGAGGATGATGTAAAAAAAATAGTTTGCATGTTAAGAAATGAATCCTTTGCTTGAAATATCCAGTGGGATAATTGATAAAAAAAAAAAAAGGCTAATCTAAATATTACCTATTTAATATCTATGCTCCAGTTTGGTATTTGTATAATTTTATTTGTTGTGCAGTTGCTCAAATTAATGGCATGCACTGAAAATATAGCACCTTTGAAGTGAAACGTTTTGAACTGCAACGCATGTATTAAACATTGAACATCTGGAATTGTTACCCAAGGATTAACCAGATTAACCTGATATCTTTGCAGATTATGCTAAATGTTTCTCTTTTTTACTTAGGGAAGCATAAAGCCTTAATTAGATTAATTCAAAATAAACACATTTTGGATAATATTTATTTAAGAAGTTTAATGTATGCACGGGTTGCGAGTGTGTAAGCTTTCTCGATAAAAAAAAAATAAAAAATACACCCACAGAAACATTAGCATTAGCCTGCTCAGGTGTAGCATTGGGTGTCTTATCAGCTTGTTAACCCAAGAAGTGACCTATACAAGGGTATGCCATCTTTAATCACATCCCATTGAGACACATGCTTCCTCTTTATGTGCCTGTGAAGAGCATTAAATGGCTCTGGATGTTTATGTGGGAATGTGCCTCGAGGCAGGCGGAGGATGAATGAGAGATGTGGAGACAAGAGATTTTCAAAAATAGAGAATTGTTTAGAAGAGAGAGAGGAAAAATTAGCTTTGAAATGATTCTTTTCATTTTTTCTTTTTCAAACACTGGGCTTATAGCATTGGCCCATTATAAAACTTAGAGACAAAGGCTTTCTAATCCTGGCTCTTTTGTTCAGCCTTTGATGGCTGACTGTGGGTGCAAGTCAATGAGCGTACAAATGTGATGTTTGTTGGCTCCTATAGTAAGGCACAGAACTTAGTGAATGATAACTAATACTATTTTGAAGCAGCACAATGACCTACGGCATCTTATGAAAGAATGTGCGTGTGTGTCCATGTGTTTATTTTTGATTGGAGCCAACAGAAATCATGTCCTTGGGGACGTTAGACTGTTTTTGAAACAAGAATAAGATACATCAAAGAGAAAGTAGTTTTGCACCAGATCCCAGAAAATGGAGTATCTGTGTGGAGCTCTAACTTCTCTGCACTGTCAAAGAGATTTAAATCAAAGTAGAAGGAAACTCAGAAAGAAAGAAGACAAAGCATGCAGAGAATCTTTAAATCTTGTATAACGACTGCAATGCTGGATTAGTATCCAGGTAGTAACATTAGTAAAAAGAACTAAGTAGGGGAATAAAACTTTATACTTATCCACAACTGGGATTACTTGGTCCAGCAGATGATCTTTATTGGTAAAAAACCCACCCCATCATGTACTTTGATGCCTCTCCCAGACATCTTTCCTCTCAGTTTGTATCTTTTTTCCCATCTGTCCATGTTCCCTTTTCCCATACAGAGATCCATACATGATAAAAGGTGTGTATGGGACTGCCTGTGTCTCTATGCCAAACCTTGAGGATGGATCCCTGTAGACCCCTGCTAACATGCTAAACCCAGAACATCTCTGGGCATTTTGAAGCAAGGGGTTTAGATCTCTGCAAGAGGAAGACCCAGACTGGTTAAAGCACCGGTCTTCATTCTCTTCCCCAAAACAATACATTTTATGTTTTAATAAGTGCTTTAGAGGAAGAATCTAGAAAATCGATGATGTAGTCAATCAGTGGATAATTTTAAAGGTCTTTGTGGATCACTAAGCATATAATGGTGTAAACAGCTCACAAGAAAGAGGTGAGGCAAGACTAAAATAGTACTAAAGTACGCTGAGATCTTATTTAAAATCGATGAAACCAATGCTTATCCTTTTGCCCCCTGCACCTTTCATACGTTTGTAGTATTTTGTTTCATGCTCAACATTTCCATTTCTTACCCGCGATGCAGACTTTTGTACCTACATTGATAACCAATGTTTTAAGGTTATTATTTATCATCTTCTTGCTATATAAATAGAATATAATAGAGCAGAACAGAATTCAACTTTATTGTCATTACACTGTCACAATTACAAATCAATTAAATGTAATTTGCATCTATCCAGCAGTGCTATACTGAATATAAATATTTCTTTACATGTGTAGAGACTATGAACTGAGACTATAAATGGTATATATATATATATATATATACAGAGAGTAATTGTAAGAAGCTTTTAAATAAATATGAAATTATATACAGATTATACAGGAAAGTTAGGATATGGATTATATATATATATATATATATATATATATATATATATATATATATATTATTACGGTTGTAATACAGGATAAATAATGACAGATGATAGCAGATATAAAAGTGTGGTTAAATAAGACATTAGATAATACCAAGCAGCAGTTAGTTTAATCAATCACATTTTATAAGATTCTAGGGGTCCGAAGTGTCCAATATATAACATTTTTAAAAAGCAGTTGAAAATTCAAGTGCCCAATTGGATCGTAGCCTTTTTAATACAAATTCTCTATTATTTCCATAAACACTGGAAATTCTTACCTGAAAGTAGAAATAAACTGATTCAGTAAGTTTCAAATGTATTGGTATAGGTACAAAATAATTCTAGGGTATGGTACTGTATTTAATGGGAGTACACAGTGAATTGGAGCCATCCAGTCATCCATCCATCCATCCATTATCTGACACGCTTGTCCCGAGTGGGGTCGCGAGGGGTGCTGGTGCCTATCTCCAGCAGTCAATGGGCGAGAGGCGGGGTCCACCCTGGACAGGTCGCCAGTCCATCGCAGGCCATCCAGTCAGTTCATTATAAATATTTGTAGAAAAGAACAAGTCATTTTTTAAGTTGATCATATTTGAAAGTTTTGTCACTTTATGCTATAGGTGTAATGACTCTGCAGTCTTCTAAACCAAGAAAATACAAGCTTCGGGTAAATGGGATTGAGATGAAATATGTTTTTTAAAACCTTTTAAATAAACAAAAAAAAAATCCCAATGTTGTTCTTACAAATAAAAAAAAATCCAGATTTGACTAGTATTTCTAATCTATTTTGATTATAATAACCAACAAAAGGATTGAAAAAATTTACTCTTAGTGTTTTTACCATTATAAATTGTCAAAAACATATTAATCCAATTAAAGTTTGATCAGTCATACTATCTTAAATAAGGGGTTCTTAAGTCTAGTTCTCAAGAGCTACCAACCTATAACCTTTAGATGCATCTCTTGTCTAACACACCTGAATCGAAAGGCTCAATTTCCTAATTTAGTTAAACAGAGGCATGTTAACCAACTCCTTTGGTTCAGGTCTGTTTAAAATGGTGTGCATTAAAAAGTTGCAGGATAGTAGCTCTGCAGGCCTGGACTTGGGCACCCCTTCCTTCCTTGAATCACTAAAAAGTGGCAAAAAAAAATTTCTATAATTTAGTGCCATTGGAAGGTTTAGTCAGCATTATTATGATCTGTTATGGTCTGATATAGACAAAATGAGTTGGTGCTCCTCTTCAGTTCCGCATGCTCCATTAATTAGCTGACTTTGTCAACATAGCAGGGCAAATCAAGAGCTACTTGCTTTTTTACCTCAGAATAAGTGTCTCTGAATGGCCATGTTCAATTAAAGGGTTTTGAATAAGAGCTCACATCCAGTCAAAGTGCTGCCAGCGCTTACACAGTGCTTTGTATGTGGGACTTCCGTTTGATGAGAATATGGTGGTATATTAGTATAACCTTGGCCAAAAGAGTTTAGATCATATCAACAATTCTAAACATGTGATCATGATACTTTTTCAAATGAATAAATTATAGTGAAGCAAGATCTAACAGTTTTTTCCTGCTTTTGAAATCTATCAGCTTGCTAGCAATGAAAAGCATACTGTGTGAAAAAACAACTTAAATATGCAGATAGCCAGTGACTGACTAATGGTCAATTTAATCATTAGAGCATAAGCCAAACTGGGAAAAAACATTTATCTTTTGGGCGCAACTTTGATTTTTAACGATCTGAAACGTTGCCATGGATTTACTGTTGGGGAAATTGGGACGCACAGATGTCTTAAATACCCAAGTAATTGAGTTTTGTGAATAATCTCCACTTTAAAACGAAGAAGCAAACTTCTCAATGTCCACTTTGTTTGATGTTGCATTTTCATGACAACTCTTGTATGGTGAGAGAAAAATAAAATTTATTTCACTACTCTTTACCTATGTTACATTTTGAACACTAATGTATAGTGTGAGGTTAAACAGGTCCTTTAAATCTTGCTGAAAATATTTGCACTTGCTTTCTTATGGTTCATTTTCACCCTGTATTTCTGCTCCTCTTATCTGTTAATCCTTGTTTTCTCATGTGTGTTTTAACTTAGGATCACAGAATAAAACCAATAAAGCTCCTTTGTAACAGGTCACCTCTATCTTGTCTGTTTGGTGTCTGTAGGGAGTTTGGCTGGAGGGATCCCGAGCTGCCAGAGGTGATCCAGATGTTGCAGCATCAGTTCCCGTCAGTCCAGTCTAACGCTGCAGCCTACCTTCAGCACCTCTGCTTTGGAGACAACAAGATCAAGTCTGAGGTACTGAGCTCAAAACATACTTTCCTGAAGTTGGTGTTCTAATATTCATCCTTTAGCTTTGGATAAGTTGTCACTGAAACGCCATTTTAAGTCTACTGTAGACTCATTCTGGATAGATTTAGATTGAAAGCCATGTTTCAATTTTTGGGGAGCGTTTAATTAGAGCTTTGAATCTGATTTGTTGAGGGGCAAATGATTAAAGCCATTTAGGGCTTTTAACTTTAAAGAATTAGAACTTATAAAAAAAATTAACTTTAACTGTAATGAGCACAAATACCAGTAGAAACATGCAAAAAAGTTTTGTAGAAACCATAAGCATTTGTCTCTTTCCAATATAGTTGCTGCAATGCCAAAATAAGGGTTTTCCAATAACTACTGAAATGATTAATGACATACAAATATGGGCTTAGTTATAAAGCTGAGACTGTACAGCCAGTATTCCACCAGTGACAAATGTAGCACACTTTCTCACAAAGCACAGTCTTAACGGGTTCAGGAGAAATAAAAACACACCTTCTGCCTGTGGATGCTTTCTGGGGTAACCTGCCTTTAGTCTGGTAGATGCACTGGAAACGGATGCAAATAAAGAGTAGTCCTAGAAAACCACACGCTTCTTGCAGTCGAAAATTCAACAAAATATATTTCAACCTTGGGAGACTCACACTGATAACAGCTGCAATTATAAAAGTATTCAGTTTATTTATACTGGTAAGACATTCATACTCTTCAAAATATTTCTATCTAAGGAAATCCATCTGATTGCGCGGACTCATTGACTCTCTGCAATCCCTCACACCAAGCATGCATGTTGCGACAGTGGAGAGGAAAACTCACTCTTAACAGGAAGAAACCTCCAGCAGCACCAGGCTCAGTGTGAGCTGCCATCTGCTGAGGCCGACTGGGGTTCAAGGAGACAGAAACAGACAATGATATAAAAGAAAAAACTTTTCTGGTGCTCAGGCCCCGGCAGAAGACTTTGATGCTGTGAATCAACATTCGCTCGAGTTGATTGGCTGGAGCTGTTCAAGGAACTTCGCAGTTCATTCATGTGAAGCTGATAAGATTGAATTTTTGCTTAAGCTTCATTTGTCTCATGAAATGTATTCGGTACTGAACCTTTTACCTCAAGCTGAAATGCAAACCTTTGCAAAATAGGCAGCTAGAATAACACATGAGAATACGATGTCTGATCAGAAAAAAAATGCCATTCTGTCTGGGTCAAAGGATGTCTCTTTTTCTTGACTCTGTGTCTTCCTCCTCCATAACTGGAGGAACCCAGTCAAAGCTATCAGAGGATGAAATTGTGTCACTTATTTCTCCTTCGAATGAGCAAAAGTTTTATTACTTTCCAGTTTTTATCCCACCGTCGTTTGTTTTGTGGTGTTATCTCATTTAATCAAATTTCCTGATAACGGTGCTGAAGTCCTTTTGTTGAAGTCACGTCTGCTTTCACTCAAGTTTCTCACTTGACATTTCTCAGTTGTGGATCTGCCATTACACTGTGGGCCCCTACAGACTTCTGCAGTCAAATTATTTAACTTAGTGATAAAGCTGAAATAGGAAGTGGGATAATGATCTGGTGCCTGTGGGGAGAATACATCAAATAGAATAGGCTGTGCTTTCATTATTTCTCATGCTGTACCAGATATTAATGTCAAAATAAAAACATGGAGTAAACACACAGCAGGAATACTTCTTGTATACCATATATATAATATAAGGTTCATAGGAAGGTATTGTCTAAAGTAATCCATTATTACTTTGTGTTGGTTCACAGCATGAAATCTCAAAGTAATACAAATATATATGTATTAGCAAAATAGTAATAACAACCACATCAAGGCAGTGTGTTGATCCTTTACTAGATCCTTGGAATGATGGTACTCTAAGTGTAATTTGTTCATGTGAAACAAAACAGCTTTATCATGTAAGATGGTTCCCACAATCTGAAAAGGCAGGTTGTAAATCTGATAGCTGTCAATTTACTCTATTGTCACCTTGCCATTACTTCTAACACAGATACAAGCATTGCATAAAATAGTTATTTAACACATTGCCTGAAGGTAAGTCAATTTGTCTCCATTTGATGGAAACTCCATTTACCTTGTGTCTTTATATGGCTGCTGCCACTCTCTGAATTAGAAAGCAATAACTCCTCAGCATTCACATCTTGCCCTGCTCCGAATGCAGTCTTGTTTCTTTGCGGTTTCTATCCTTTGTTTGGAGCTGCCATCCCTCAGTGTCCTGTAGAAAGCTGCTCCATCTGTCTCCTCGATGTCAACTCAGAGCAGCTCAATTCCACTTTATTAATGCTTATGGAGGCGACAGATATCAGGGTGAACCAAGTCCTCCAAACAGCAATCAGGCAACAGGAACTCAACACTGAGTGAAAGGTAAAATGAGGGAGTGAACTGATGAAGTATGGTGGAGTGGGGTTAGCACAATTAGGCTAAACATTGTTTTACCCTTGAGAAATGTGCAGCTTTTGCAGTGAAATAACAGACTGATAGATATGCATGACTTTCTATCTAAAGAGGCTCATAGCAAGTATTACAATTTAAGCTTTCTGTCATTTAGGTAATGCATCTAAATTCCTGAGGATCAAAGCTATAGTTCATATTCCCATCAGCAGAATAGATGGGATCTGCCTTACAGGTTCTACTTTCTTGTACCCATTTATCTTCATTAGTGCTTTGAGGTTTTTCTGTCCGGTCCTGGTGAATTGGAAGACAGCGCTCTCCCAACTTATTGACATCCGTAGTGAAAAAAAGAAAACAAGCCTTAAAGTAAATGTATATGTTTTTTTAAGGCCTGAAAGTACTTAGAATCCATTTGGGTATATTTGATCAGTCCAGAAAAAAACCCAAAAAAACTTCTGCCCTAAAAAGAAATGTTCTTTGTTTTTTTAACATCTACTTAACCTTTTTTTTTTTTTATCAAGTTTACTAAAAACAATGACACAGGGGCAAATGTCTCTTAGTGGGGTCGCCAAACAGGAAAAAGAAGTTGCGCACAAGTCTATCTTCATGAAATCAAGAATATGCCACAAGGAATTAGGTTCTCCGCCAATCTTTCCCATTACTATGATCAGAGCAATAAATATGTTCAAACGATGGAAGCTGTGAAGAACAAGGTCAGATGACGAGCCAGATTTGTTTTTTCAGCTCTGATATGGACGGTAAGGGAGATAAATGAGTGCTGTGGGGATTTACACTCAGGACAAGGAAATTTAGAAACCTCAGAAGAACAAAGGCTTATTGATCTCTAAACAGGTGTAAAGTTTTCTTCAAACTCTGTGGGGAGAAAGAACAGTTACCTAATCGCTATTAGGGAATGATCAGCCTCACTAACCTGCAGGATAGAGAAGCAGCTGGGAAACAGGAGCTATGGTGATGTCAGAGAGGGTGAGGGGCTGGCAGCTCAGAGAAACACCTGATCGTGTGGAGAGTGAGTTCAGGAAATGGTCATTGATGAGGAGGCACGTGTAGGTACATTTAGCAGGGGATATTGGCAAGAAATTATAGTCAGTTCAATCTGAAAAACTCACACAAAGAGAAAAGACAATTAGAAGAAATGCATTTATAAAAGTACTTTCTCTTTGGCGCTCAGACCTCGGCAGGAAACATAGCACTACATTTTGATAGATATGCATGAACAGGAGCAAAGCATAGGGCTATTTCCCCCCTAGGCCTGAAGCTGGTGGTGGAGTGGAGATAGATGAAGTTGGTCTGTCTGTAGACTGCTGGTAGCGAGATGATATGCTGAGCTTTATGGGGAGATTTAGTGGATGGGGTGAGCTGATACTAGAGCTTCACACAGGGACCTGGAAGATGGATGTCCAGCTTAGATAACATAGGTTGGGAGAACCTGTCCATGATGAGCAAGCATGAAGGGATGGTGGAGAGGAAAACCTCCCCGTTGGAAAGAAACCTCCTGTAGAACCAGGCTCAACATGGCAGTCCTCTGCCGGACCAGTTGAGATGAGACAGGGAACGCAGTATGAGTCCAGGAGGAATGACACACTGATGAAGCTTTTGCTACGATGGTGGAGGAGGATGGTGGTTTAAACACAGTCATCTGAATAAAGTCACACAGTGCAACTTCTGTCTGTGGACAGGAGCAGACGAGTTGCGATCGGAGGCCTTTTAGATTTACTTTGGATGCCGATTGTCTTTCATGGAGGTGTGGTTCAAAGCTGATCGGCTGTGTCGCAGGTGGTTGTTGGAGAGCAATGAGTTTCTTCAGTTGAACTTCTGCCTAGGCTCCATATATCAGAGTAAGAGTTGGTATCCCAAAGCATAAACCTGGTCAGTAAGAAGAAAACAGATGATTGGAAAGAACTCAGGATTTCTATCAGCTTAGGAGTCAGTCATCTGGCAGAGAGGCAGAGGCTGGGGAGGGTTTATGAAGTGTCGCCCACAGTGAAACAGACGTAATTGGGCTTGGCAGAGGTGGGCTGAATGAGGTTGATGAAAACAGAGAGACATGGCAGGAGGACGGTGGAGAGATGAAAACAAAAATAAATCCAGACATGGCATGACAAAACCAGGAATCCTTACAACAGCAGCAAAATCTGTTGTTAGACTTTTCACACATCTGTAATAGGATACCAGGAACAGCAGAGGGAGCTTCAGTTTTCATACGCTTCTGTTATTTGATGTGCCTCTACTTTATTGATTTAGTTTTCTCTTGTATTTATAAAAAACATGGATGGATGGATGGATGGATGGATGGATGGATGGATGGATGGATGGATGGATGGATGGATGGATGGATGGATGGATGGATGGATGGA